ATTAGACTGTAATAAACTGTTTACTGCGCATTTTTAGCAAGCAGCTATAAAACCTCTAAACATTACGCATAAGCTGTCTACAGAATATCACCCCTAGATAGATAGACAAACAGAGGAGGCTAACGCTAAAATAGAGAAGTACCTAAGAAAATACATCTTTTATAAATAAATAGACTAGGTAGAATAGCTTCTCTTAGCCTAACTAGCTATTAATACTACTAAATCTTTAGCAATAAAGAAAACACTTTATAAAGCTAATTTTAGATATAACCTATGCTATGCTTTAAAAGAGACGCAACCTAGAGACCTTATTAAAGTAATTAATAAGATAAATTAGTTGCAAAAACTGCACTAGAAGTTAGCTAAAAAGGCGTAAAACAAAAGAGAATAAATAATAAAGTAATTAGAACAAACTTACTCTAAAGCCCTAGAAATCTACCTAGGGGACTACATATATTTAGACACTAAACACCTACAGACCTCTAGACCTTCTAGAAAGCTAGTAGAAAAACAAATTAAACTCTATAAAGTGCTATAAATATAAAAAAATAACTGTAAACTTAAACTTCCTTTTATAATAAAGATTTACCTATAGTTCTACATCTTTAGGCTTAAAAAGGCCTTAAAATAAATCCTGCTATTTATAATAAGCTAGAAGGATGTAAAAAAAGAATATAAAGTAGAATAAATTATAAGCAACTAAAAGAAGAAACATAAACTTTTTATTAAATAAAAAAGGTAGCTTACTAGTAAAAATATATAAAAACTAGTTAAAAACTTAATAAATGCTTACTAACTACCAGAGAAGTATTATTTGTCATGTTAAAACAAAACTAACTAGGCAAAAGCAGCCCTAAGGGGAACACGTTGCCTGCTATAGATAACAGCGCCGCGCTATTATTAGATAGCAGCAATGTACGCGGACAAGAACCTAGCAACGTGGGTTAAGAAAGAGGAAGACTAGCAGCTTCTACCTTAAGCGCTTTAATCTTATCTAGTAATAAAAAGTCTTTATTTTGTTGGATATTTTACCCTTTTATCTTAAAAGTAAGCTAGTTGCTTTTTTAAATAAAGCCTTTTTAAGACAATAATAGCCTTTTTCTTCTACATAGTAATTTTCTTAACTTAAACCTTCTCTAAATTTATAAATAGCTTTAACTGCACTTTCTTTAGGCAGTTCTAAGTAGCATTAGAAATAAAAGTGTCGCACCTTTCTTACACACTCTACGCACTTGTTTAATAACAGGGTTAGAACACAGGAAGACTTAGAGAAATAATAGAGACTATAAGAACACATCATTATGCAGTAAAAAGGATTAAGGAAAGAAGTAGTTTAGGTCTAACGAGTGTAAGTTAGCTAGTAAGGCATACTTTAGTGTTAAAAAAAAATAAACATCTGTAAAGTGTTTATAGAAAGAGACTTATAAGTAATAAAAAATTTCTAACACTTACAGTAGTATAGGCAGAGCAGTAAGGACGCTGCTAGAGAGAGAGGCCTGCGTGTTACAGTCTATAAATAGACTAGACAGAACCCTAGCAACATGCTCTACTGTTTAAATAATTAAGCTTAGAACTCTTTTATGCTTAAATAGGAAGAACTAGAGGACCCTGCTGTGCAGGTAAACTCTAACCCCTTCAAGTAGGCTATAGAGGAATGCGTTGTCTAGTAGGAAGACCCTGCTAAGGATTGCAGTAATTATAAGGCTTAGTAAGTTAAGGCTGTAATTACTACATAATAGATTACAGTAATTGCAAGGCTTAGCAAGCTAAGGCTGTAATTACTATATAAACATAGATGTATAACGTACTTTACAGGCAAGTTGCTCACACACCTAAGTTGCTTACTTTGCTAAGGCCCTACTAAACTACTCTTTTAACACTAATGCATTCCTAACAACACTACTTAAACACGCTAAAAGAACATTAGATACAGCTTACACTCTAAGCTTTTAAATAAAACATAAAACTCTTAAAGAAATGTGCTGCAGCTATGTAAAAAGTCTTTTACAAGATAATAAATAACTATAGCGCTAGATAATCTTTATAAGCTAATTCTATAGCTAACTTATAAAGGCTAGGTAATAATAAGAAGTAGGTAATTATTAAGACTATACTTAAGCTATATGTGCAAGGATTTTCCTTTTAGATAGCTGTTACGGTCTACGGTTGGACCGGCGTAACTCCACCAGCAGTGCTCCACAATCTAGCTGGATTGGGACAGGGCTCGCTTATGAACCAGTCGGAAGACACGGGAGCAGCGCAGCTGCCCGCAATAACGGAAGAATGCGTCATCTAATAGGAAGACAGGCCACGAGTAAAGGGAGCTTAAGGGAGCTCTAGGAGCTTCCCTTAGCAAACTCCTATAAACTCCCTCTGCTCCCCTTAGCACCCTAGCACATGTATATAGTTCCTGCATTAAACAACCTTTAGAAGGTGTGTTTAATGTTTAGTTTATTTTTTACATAAACTAAGTAGCATTTAGCTTTCTAAAGAGCTATAATACTATTTATATATCTTATATTATATATACCTCTAACTTTATCTAACAGGACTGTTTAACTTAGCCTCTTTACTGCTGCATTAAAGGCAAACTATAATCTAGTCACCCTATTCTACTCTAATAGCCTATTAGCCTGTACGTAGGACTGTACACCCTACCGGTTGGCTCCTACCATCCGTCCTACTTCCCCCCTAGGAACATCATAAGACTCGAGTGCTTCCACGAAGAAAGGATTGTAACAATAGCATTTATAGCTAATATCGCTAATTCTTTACATGCTAAGTGTAATCTAGGCTATATTAGCATAAACTAGCCTAGTATGTTTATAAAGTGTTATTTAAAGCTTAAAGTAAAGTTTTAAGCATAAGTATAGTTAATAAATATTTAGCTTATAATAAAGCTTGTTTTACTAAAGTTGTACATGTTATTATTCTAAATACTATACTTAGCTTTAATATTCTTTATAAGGCTAAACCTGTCTTAAATTACCTTAGGACTTTTATAGAGAGCTCTTTTATAGTTATACTACGCTTAAATGTTACTTTAAGCTTTAGATAGCACTTTCTAAACATACTAAGCTAGTTTATACTAATATAGCCTAGATTACACTTAGCGTGTAAAGAATTACCTATATTAGCTATAAATACTATTTAAGAAGGAAATCCTTATGTATATAGCTTAAGTATAGTTTTAATAATTACCTACTTTTTATTATTACTTAGCCTTTATAAGTTAGCTATAGAATTAGCTTGTAAAAGTTGTCTAGTGCTGTGATGACAAGCACTGTCTCTACTACCGTATGGAGCTGGGGAAGCATGGCAGAGTAGGTCGGCTCTATTTCAGCTAAACTAGGATGGGGAGTGAAGGAGGCGAAGGGTTTTCGCGAGAGAAAAGCTTGCGCAGCGCCAAGGCGCTAGCGCGCTCGCTTAACCCTTAGCGAGATCATGTGACTAGCAGCGGAGCTTGACAAGCAGCACCGTCACAAGTAGGGTCTTAGTAAAAGTAAGCAACTTAGGTGTGTAAGCAACTCGCCTGTGAAGTACGTTATAAGACCTTAGTTAATTAACTTTTAGAAGGTATAATTAAAGTTTAGTTTATTTTTATAGACTAAGTAGCATTCTAGCTTTTTAATAAGCTGTAATACTAATTATATATCCTACAACATATATACCTCTAATCCTGTTCTACAAACTGTTTAACTAAGCGCCTTATACTGCTGTCTAAGCTTAAACCACAATCTAGCCGCTCTACCATCTCGATACCCGAATCACACCGAGGACTGTACATCCAACGTGGGTTACCCTCTATCCCGTCCCACCAGCACCCATCGGCCCGCGTGCTCGCAGCATCTACAAGGACCCTGCCGAGCAAGGATTGTAACAGTAACTTAGGTTTGTAAGCAACTCATCTCTAGTATACATTATAAAAGTGTAATAATTATAAAAAAAATGTAGATAAGTAATATAAACTATATACAAAGTAATAGCGATAAACACACTACATTAGACTAAAATAATACTAATAATACACTTTATTACTAGACTTCTATTGTTAAGAAAGCTTAGAATAGAACAAATATACAACGCTATTACAGTAGCATAAGACAAGGTAAGCAAGTATGTGTATTTCTAGCTAATAAAAAAGTCTCTAGTTATAAAAAAACTAAAGTATAAACTAAACTAACATATAATTATCTAATATTCTTCTTAACTAAAGCGCCTCGCTACAGGCGTACCATCTCTCACCTCTACTATACTAAACCCTCTCTAACTACTAACTACTAGTTACCTCGGACACTGTCACAGGATTCTACACCCTCTCTTCTCTTTTTATCTTCTTTTATTAGGATCGTTCGTCACTGCATTAAGCCAAGACAATCTCTTGGTTAGCTAAGATATTATAACATAGACCTTCTTAAGCTAGCAATTTACTAAGTGTTTTAACATGCAGGGATGGCTAACGCGACGAGATTTCTTGGCGTTAAACATTCTATAAATACGGTAGCTGCTAAGATCTTAGGATTAATAATGATTAAGACAAACAGCTACTCAGCTTGGCGATGTATTGAAGCCGTTCACTGATAGTGTGCAGGTTCCAATCTCCAGTTACGGAGGAAGTATCGAGACTGGGAATATGGGGTGGAGATGATGGTTCAAGAATTTAGGGGCGACGCTAGTGCATTAATACCTAGATACATCAAGGTGTACGCGGCTCGCGCGTTCGCAGACGCTATTACGAATTGTGGATATTCACCTTGCGAGAATGTTCTAAAATTAAGAAACGCGAAGCTCAATGTCGGGCTCCTCCTTTTCGAGAAACGAGTACCCTGTCTCAGAATTGGTGTGAGGAGTACATCAGATTGCGGCTCGTCCCTTTTCAAGAAATGCCGCCTTTTCCTTGCCACGTTCCTTTTCATCGTCTTTTAGAAAACTGACCTCAAACTATTCTTTCAAGCCAAATTTTCATACCATACTCATTGATTCTCGACCTTTGGCCCAACATGGCTTTTCAACCGTATACACCAAAACCCATCACCGACATATTCACAGCTGACACTGACGTTGACCGCCGCAAGTGCCATAGAACAGTGCCCATGAGAGTACTCGCCCTTGGGCTTGGTCGGACTGGTACTGCATGTAAGTCCCCAGATCTATTATCGCAAAGATGAAGCACCGACTTACAAGACCCCCGAAGCTCTTCGTACTGCGCTGAAAGAGCTTGGGTTCACAGACTGTTACCATATGATGTCCGCTAGCGTCGAAAATCCACCGGACTGCCTCATGTGGCAGGATGCGTTTGCGGCCAAATACGACGATGAAGGAGAATTCGGCCGTGAGCAGTGGGATCAACTGCTAGGCCACTGCCAAGCCGTCTGCGATTGGCCTGCAGTAGCATTTGCGAAGGAGCTGATCCAGGCTTACCCAGAGGCCAAAGTCATCCTGACTACCAGAGACGTCGATTCGTGGCACGCGTGAGTCCCCACTAACGCCCAGTCTCGGTTACAAGATATAATGACCTGGAGTAGGTCAACGATGAGGACCGTGGACTGGAGAGTAAATGATCCAGAGCTGAGATTTGTTGCCCTATGGGACTGGGGTGCAGGCCTCTATCAACCCATGCTCCGAAAATTCTGGGATGTCTTCTTTAAGGGAGATTTCAAAAAGTATGGCAAAGAGGTTTTCCATGACTATTATGCAGAAGTCCGGTCTCTGGTCCCGAAAGATAACTTGTTGGAGTATCGCATAGGCCAAGGATGGGGTCCTTTGTGCGAGTTCCTGGAGGTTTCCGCGCCAGAAGGGAAAAGGTTCCCCCATACGAACGATACGGATGGATTTGTTGATAGGTGCCGCGCAAGAAACCGGGCGCAGATGTACAATATTCTGTTCCGAGGATTTATGATGGGCGGTGGAATTATGGCGACGCTGCTTTCAGCATCGGTGACCTGGTATCGATTTGGGTCTCGTCTCTCAGCGTTCCGGTCATGAGTTGACTTGTCTATAAGCCTGGCTTACTACGTTGGCGTTAGGGTTTGGAGGACACTTTTGCATTCACTCCTCTTCTGCGACTTGGCGGTGTTCTGCCTTGCCAGCGAGGTGCCACAGTGGACCGGTGCCCTAATGTAGCGTGTGTGTTGTTCATAGCATCAACGCAAGACCTCAAATATTTCTGACACCCAAGATACGGACGACTTCAGATTAGCATGAATGAAGTGCGACACATGATGCCAATTAGGAGTGACTTCTTAGGAACGGCTACACCGGCAGTGTGTCGAGACGTAGTGCTGATGGAAGCGGTGGGCAAACGCTGGAGGAAATACAGGGTGCCATGTTGCAGGAACAATTGGCTCGACGTTTAAGAAAGATCTATTATGTGCAAAAAGTAGAAAGCTTCCTAGCCTTCCTTAGAACGTTTTTTCTCTTACTTAAATTATTTTATATAAACAATTAAAATCTTAGAAAAATGTAAATTATATTAATATTTTAAAAAATTGTTAGTAATAGAAAGTTTTTAGTTTATATAACGTAGTAGATTACTAATCTAGATACATTACTAAGCTAACTACTTTTTCTTAGCATAACTAACCTATGTTGTAGAACACTAGATTAATTGTAACAATTTGCATGAATTGTTCTGTTTAAAGTTACTAAACAAACTTATATCCAAAGGTTCCGCATATCTGCCCCGACTCTGCCCTGCCCCCTACGCTACCTCTATCTCTAAGTATTTAGTTGCACCTCTTCTCTTAGCTAGCTTAGTAGTTTTCTAATATCCTTTTATACAAGGCTTATAAGTGTTAATGGAATTCCTAGGTTTCTAAGTATCTACGCACTTTTTTAATATGCTTCTAAGTAGATTTACATTGCATTTAGACTTATTATCTTGCCTACACTATTACATTATATTAAAAAACTTACTTTTGCTAGTAACAGCTTTTTTAATAATATTATATTAATTATATTTAATTATGTTTAAGCTTAAGTTATACTAACGTACTTCACAGGCGAGTTGCTTACACACCTAAGTTGCTTACACACCTAAGTTGCTTACTTTTGCTAAAACTACACTCTAACAAACTCTATTATAGTCTATAACAACCCGCTCTAGCACTATATAGTATAGTATAGCCTAGAATATTATTTAGATACTACTTCTACTTCTTACTTACACATTTGCGTGTTATACCTAGTCTAATTACACTATTTATAGCGCCTTTAGAATAGCTTACTTACTTTAGCTTATACTTACTTTTTTTTTATTACTGTGCGCTTTAAACTTCTTTAAAGCTATTAAGTATAAACTTTTTAAAATTATTAAAGTTTTTTTTACTTTAATCTACTTTTTTTTATGTAATTTATATTATATAGTAGCTTTATTAGCTGCTTAAAGCTTAGTAATTTTTTATTATACTAATACTAGCTTATATATAATTATTACTACTCTTTTTAAAACTTTTTAAAACACTTTAACTATAAAAGTTAGTAATCTGTTAATATACTTTTAAATTTTTATTTTTATAAGTATTAATTATAACTTATTGTAACAACCGGCTATCCAAGTGTTTCCTCGGCTGACATAGACTGGCCTAGACCGCACTAGGCAGTCCTGGACAACTCCTGAACCGTGCCGTCAACCCCGCACTTCCCAGACAACGCCTACCTCACCTAGTGTCACGATTGTGCACGAGTAAGGTTATAGAGCTTCACAGAGGTCTAGTTCAATTACTATGTGAGGTATCATAGTAGGTACAAGACGTTGTGTGAGGAACAGAAAGGTTTAAAAGAAAATTAGTAATTAAATACTTAGCTTAAAAGTCTAAGCGCTTTAGGTATAAATTAAGCCTATTCTAAGTTTAGTTAGTGTTAAGGCAGTTTATGCTTAAGTTTATGTCTATGTTATATTATGTTTATGTTAAACGTGCACTAATAATACTCTAGTACGTGTCTAATACAGTTATGTCTAGGATCTAGGGAGGATACTGTAACAGTACCCCCCCCCCTTATTAAAAAGGGAATTCTTTAAATTAGTAGTTCTAGCATTAGGTTGTTTTTATTAGAGTATAGGTTTAGTTTAGATAAGTATTAAGCGTAAAATTAGGTTACTACAAAGTTCTTTTATAAGGCTTCTGTAAGTTCCTATAACAGTTTGTTATATCTAGTTTATTTTATAAAGTATTTATAAATACATTTTTTTTTATTAAACTAGATCTGTTTAACATTTTCTATAACATATTCTAGTTTATTGTTTATAATAATAGGTTTAGGTAGCAGGTTTAGCTGTCTAAGTAGATAGTTAGATTTAGGGGCTACTTAGCGCAGCAATAATATGTAGAACACAGGGTGTATCTTTATGCTGTTAGGTAGGATTAATTAGTAAGCATGTAATAAAACTATATAAGCTACTATAAAAGGGCTAAAGTTCTTCTAATTAAGTTTCTTTAATTATTAGTTTATTTAGATATTTCTAGCGTCTAGCTAGACCTTTTTGCTAGCTATATACGCAGGGGCAAGAGTTTAGAATTAGTTTATGTACTCTTATTAAAAAGCTTAAGCCTATGTAAGCTTTTTATAAACATATTTAGATATATTTTAGATTTTATTAATAAGTTTATTTACATCTATTACTTATATAAATTAATAAGTTAGTTAGGGGGTATTTAAAAGTAGTTTAAATCTTATTTAAAGGTAGTATCTATAGTTTGCTAAAAATAGAGATACTTATGTTAATTTAAATGTTATGTTATTAGCTTTAAACTATACTGTAGCTAACTATTTTACCTAGTTATCTTACTAGTAGTTTATGTACACTTATAGGACTTATTTTATTACAGCATTTATGTTCTTAGTCTAGCTGTTAGTCTCTAAGTAAAAAGCTGTAGATAGATAAAAGACAATTTAGAGCTATTTACAGAGTTTATCCTAGAAGGCTAAGACAAACTGCGTACCTCTGTCTAATATAATTATGTTAGGCAGGCTATAGTAAACTTATATGTATTAGTAGAATAACTAGGCTATATTAGAGGCAGTTATAAAGGAATATAGTATTAAGTGTTAATACTTAGTTAAGTAATTAACAACTACTATAATATTTATATACCCTTTAGATAGGAGTAGGTTTATAATAAAATTAATTAATATATCTTTCTAAGCTTATTTAAGAATTAGAAGCAGTTTAAGCAGGCTATTATACTTTTCTTAAAAGGCCTTTACTTTATAGTAAGTATAGCAACATAATATATATTAGCGTACAGTATAGAACATGTGGGGCCAGTAGTACTCTCTCTGTAGTAGGTTAAGAGTCTTTCCTCTGCCTAGGTGTCCTCTAACAGGCAAGTTATGTATAATTTAAAGTAGTTTAATTCTTAGTTTATTAGAATTAAAGATTATAAGTTAGTTATAGTAATATAGCTTACTATTTTAGTTTTTATAGTTAGCTAGTGTTACCTTCTTTAACTAACTAGCGCTGTTTTAGAGCAGGTTTAAGGTTTTTTAGATAAATTTATTATTTAGATACTTATTAGTAATAATTTAATTAATTATCTAATTTATTTTATTTAGGTTAAGGTCTAAAAATAGCTTAAGTTAGAGTAAAGTTTAGTGTTAAGCCTTTTACACTTCTTCTTAAGTAGGGATGTTTTAGAATTGCCTAGTAAGGGCATCTAGTTTCCTTTTATCTTAACTAGAATAATAAGTAATCTTAAAATTAAAATAAGATAGGTATTTAGACTAATAGGCTTATTAGTAGCTAAGTTGTTTTATAGTTGCAAAGTACTGTAAGTTTTTGTAGTTAAATAGGACCTATATTAGATGCGCTGCACCTTCTAGTTTAAGTTGCTATTATTTAAAGCAGTGTACTATAGTAAGTAATTTTTTATTATAGATCTTATAATTACCTTCTGCAGAGCTTATTCTTTTTAAGAAGTATGTAATAGGCTTAATAGTCTTATCTAGCTTAGTCTAGAAAAGAACTCCTGCTACTATGTAGTCTAAGGCATTAGCTTCTATAAGTATTAGTAGTTTAAAGTTAAAGTAGTAGAGTATTAAAGCTTTAGTAAAGGCTTTTTTTAGCTAGTTAAAGAACTATTAGTAATTTAAGTTAAAGTTAAATTAAATCCTTTTTTTAGTAAGTGTAATTATAAGGCTTACTTACTATAAAAAGTTGTTAATAAATTATTAGTAAAAGTTAGCAAATTTTATAAAAGCTTAAATATTCTTTATATTTTTTAGGTATTACTAATCTAGCATAGTCTAAACCTTAATAGGGTCTATTTAGATGCTATTTATAGAGATTACATATTCTAAATATATAACCTTTAATTAGTAGAACTTGCATTTGTCTATGTTAAGTTACAGACCTGCTTCTTCTATAGCCTTTAGCACTAGGCGTACATGCTGTTTATGCTCTAAAAGGCTATTACTGTAGATTAGAATATTATTAATATACGCAGTGCAGAACACGTCTAGGTAGGGTTAGAGTAAGTTATTTATAAAATGTTAAAAAGTACTAGGCGTGTTAGCTAAGCTAAAGGGCATTACTAGGTACTTAAATAGTCTATATTAGGTCTAAAACGCTATTAGCTACTTATTACCCTTTACTATCTTTAGCTTGTTAAAGGCAGCAATAATATCTAACTTTATAAAATACTTTACTTTACTTAGTTAGCTTAAGGTTTCTTATAAAAAGAGAATTAAGTATTAGTTCTTAATAGTAACAGTGTTTAGTCTTTAGTAGTTAATATAGAATTAAAGCCTACCTCTAGGTTTCTTTATAAATAGTATAGGTAACACTACTAGTAAGAAGCTAGCTTAAATAAACTTTTTTTTTAAGTTCTTATTAAGGTATTTTTAGAGCACTTTTAATTTATTTAGTAACATCCTATATAGTAGCCTATAACTAGGTTGTTTACTAGGCTTAAAAGTTATTTAGTAATTATATAAATGTTATATTAAAAGCTTATTAGACTTGTCTTAGAAGAAGACATGTAATA